ACAGCTGTATAATAAAAATGAATGAGAATAAATCTGAGAACAAATTTTTAAATGTTTCTGTGAACTACAGAAATATACTATGAGAGTTACACATTCAAAATTAGACTAAAGGAAATTATTTTAAGAATATCTCCTAGTTTATTAATAAAATGTACCTAGTGTGTTGATATTGCATCATTTAACATATATCCCCTAACTTACATTTCATCTCCAAAATACATTATTTTTCTATTTTGAAAGTGAATTTTCCCTCTGCTGACCAGCTTATCTAATTGATCCAAGTGGTTCTAAATATGTTTATTTCATTTCTTGATATTTGAGCTGTCAACAGTTTTAGTATTCCTAAAGAGCTGCATTATTTTCAAATGCTTTTTTTTTTCAGATCATCCATATCAACAACATTGAACTAATTAGCTCAGAAAAGCTCACTGCTTCTGAAATCCCTAAGGAAAATCACAACAAGCCTTGAGCCAATCTCTCTGTCAGTGACTTGTGCCAAATTCTTATTACCACCTTCTGTGATCACACTGTGACTCTGACAACTACGCTTGTGCAAAGAGCATTTCCTGCTCATATGGTAAATGGAAGGCAGAGCTAGGAATGTGAGAGCCCAATGTCATTCTCTTCAGGACAGGGCGCATGGAGTTACCTATCCTAAACTCTTCCTAACTGACTTGCTACCACACGGAAAGGATCTCCAGAACGTTATTTCTGGTAAACTTTACTATGAAGAGTTTCTTGGAAGAGCCATTACCAATGTTGTATTTAATAGCATTTATGAAAGAAGAAACACAAAAAGCCATTGGGCATTGTTGTGGTTCTCTTGAAATTAAAAAAAAAAAAAATGGAGGTTTCTTTTTACAAATACACACAATATTTTAAAAAATATAACATGAAAATAGCCATGATCTAAAATATTAAAACAAATCTCTAGTTATCAAAACATATAGTTGCTTATTATAAATGTCATTTCGGTTATTAACTGTTTTGCAGACATAACGGCACACAAAAGTCCTGCGGTTTCTAGAATTCTACATTAGAAGAATCTAGTACTATGTACATGTTTTTAAACTCTAAAATTAATTTTCCTTGGACTGCAAGCAGTGATCAAAGCATCTACAGAGGGTGAAATGCTTACAGCTGCAACACCAAGTGCTTTTCTTTTTCTTTCACAAAATCCAAACTATAATACAACAGCACCACCTATCGATGGAATGGCAGAATTGAAACCCTAAAATTACAACATGATAGCAAACATTTACTGGAATTAAAAATCAAGGAATAGAATGCAGAAATAATCAAAAGATTATAACTTGAACTTGTGTGATGCCACTAGTTGAAACACAGCCACTCACATGTTTATACCCTTAGTGAGAGTGTGTAATAGAAAACACTTGCCCCCCAACTCAGAAAGATAGCCGGAAGCTTCTCTGTCTAGATCTGGGATCTAGATGGCAAATAAAATGTCACGTGTAAGAATTCACCATGATGGAATATTCCTCATGTGAGCTGAAGTTCTTTTGTATGGAGAAAATTCATTTCATTAACATATTTGCAGTAAATTATTACATTCACCTTGGGGTACCTCACCCATCTTAACTCTTCTTCATCCCCTTCTCTTCTCCTTCCTCTATCTGTTGGCCTCCTTCCCTTTTGCAGAAGATCTACCGCCTTGTTTCCTATTATCTGTTTTTTGCTCTATGATTTATTTGGCATGAGAGAACTCACGCTGAAGTTCTTATTCCCACTATATCTTCCAGGAATGTTTCAGCTGAGAATTAAGATAAAACTTACTGATGGCTGCATCACTGCACGGCATCACTGGAAATACTTGGATGAAACAAATTCAAAACACCTCTGTGGGAAACATACTCACTTTAACACATACTTACTTTAGTCCATACAGCTATACAGGATTCCCACAAAAAAATTCCCACTGAAGACGAGCTCATAACTCAAAAATCAAAAAACTAACTGGGAAACCTTTCATTAATATGTGAGATTTTTAACATAAAAGCTCAAGCAAATTTTGAAAACAAATGGAACTTGTATAAATAAAAAATATAACTACTGAGATTGAAAACTCATAGATTGTTTAAAAGCGGGTATGACAGAGCTAAACCAATACTTAAATAAATGGAAGGCCATGTTAGAGTTATATAATGCACAGAGTGATAAATAATCGAAAATATAAAAGTGCAGTTGAGACACGGAAGATGGGGTAAATAAGCCCACATATATCTATCCAGATTTTCAAAGATGGACAAGAAATGGAATGATGAAGAGAAAATATAAAAAATGAAATGGCTGAAATTTTCCCTAATTTGAGGAAGAAAATGAATACCCAGTTGGCAATGCATACCGAGCACCAAACACGATAAACAGCAATGAAGCTCATAAGGAATGCAATGAAAACCCAGCAAACCAATGATGAATAAGTCATCTCAAATGGATACAGCAAGGCAGGGAAATTTTCTAAAGAGGAATGGCAATTCAATAAACTACAGAGTTTTCAAAAGTATGGTAAAGGCCGACAACTGGAGAAGGCTATCTTTAAGGGATAAGAGAAAACAACTCTTGCCCTATTCAAGTATTTTATTTTTATTTAACTAACATTTATATGGCACTTACCTCAAAGGGCATTCTAAAAGTGAATTAACTGACATAATTTGATAATCATAATAATCGAATAAAGTAGGAGTAATATTTTCATTTTACTAGTGAGAAAACTGGAGAGTACTGGGATTAAAGTACTATTCTCAATGTCTCATGGCTAGAAAAATCTTAGAATCTGGAGTTTTATCTCAGCAAAATTACTGCTTAAGAATAATGTCAAGCACATTTCTTTTATAAACATGTAGTGATCATAAAAATTTCTCATTGGAATAACTTTATAAAAAGATATGATTAAAAAGTGAAAAATTAAATTCAAAAAGGAGGAATGGTAAACAGAGAAAGTGGTAATTATGCAAACTTTAATGATAAAAAACAAAATAGGCCAGGGATTTAGCTCAGTGGCACTGCACCTGCCTCGCAAGCACAAGTTCCTGAGTTTGATCCCTGGTACCAAAAACAAAAACAAAGACATGAAGACTAATTTAGGGATTACACAGACAAGAAAGAAAGAAATACTGGTCACAATCACTAACTATTTATTCTAGTATGATGTTACAGGTAAAAAGAATATTTTTTTAGATAAATATAACATTTCTAAATGTGTAGGCACCTAGTACACAATACAGCAACATACAAAGCAATGTTTGACACAAGAAAAATCTAATACTTGGAAATAATTAATGGGTTCAGAAAGACAAAAAAATAATAGGAATCATTAAATATTTGAACTTAATAGTTATGAAGATATATACCAAAGCACTTATGAATCTAGATGGAAATTTTATATCACTAAATCCCATATTAGAAAGCATTTAAAAGTTTGGAAAATAATGAATTAATCACCCAACTCAAAAAGGTAGAAAGAAGAAAAACCAATAAATAGAATATGATAATTTTGTAATTCTCAATGTAATAACTGATTTAGATAAGAAGGTTTGACTATGTAACCGTTAAGTAAAAGGGTAACAGATGATTCAACTGACACAGAGCTGACACCACTGATCAATGCTGACAGCACTCTTAACAGCTGGCCACTTCTGATATGGTATAGTAAGAAGTGGATAGCATTATTCTGAAGTGCTCTTGCAAATATTTTGCTAATTAATTTCTTAAAATCAATTAATATAGTGAAACCTTTACATGTAAACTTCCAATTTACAGGACATTTTCAAGAGAAAACAAAATGTAGGTGAAAGCCCAAATTAAACAACCCCACCAGGAAATAATCACACTTGTTTATAAAATTGGATAATCTAAAGGAATACTGATCTAGTTTCTTGAACATATTAATATTAAGGAAAAAAAACTAGAAGAGGAATGTTCTACACTTAAATATTCCTTACAGAAATGTCATATACTGTCACTGATTGAATCATGGCCTGACACTAACTTTAAAAGGCACATGGAACTGAATGGAGGGAAGGGTGAAGACAGATATTAACTTATTTTAGGGAACTATTATTAATTTTATTACGTGTAATACATGTATACCCATGTGTACAGGAGCATAACTCATAACAGGTAAATCTGATGGTGGCAAAAAAAAGAAAAAAAATTTTAAATGGAGGTAGAGGAGAAGGGGGAAAAAGAATTGAGATGTAACCACAGTAAATGGAATCATTATGTCCTGGAAATATGTGCTAATTAGAAACAATGTTGTAGTAATGTAGAAAAATGTCAATTTTTAGAGAAACATACTGGAAAAATTAGGAGTAGTTGTATCTGTAATTTGTATTTTAAAATGTATCAAAAATACATGAAACTCATGATTTAATTATTAAATATAGGTAATCAGTTTGATTCCTCTGTTTATTTTTTCATGTTTGAAATTCTTATAATAATAAATTTCACAAATAAAAACCAAAGATAATGCAAGCAGTCTTGGGGCTTTGCTATCACTTGCTTTGGAAGATACTGAGCTGAGCTAGGTCTCTGTCTGTCTGTCTGTCTATCTGTGTGGGCCCCAGAGGCACCTAAGGCTGCTTCTTAAAGCTGCAGAATACATGAAATGTTCAGAGCAGAAGGCATTTCTTCTTTAGAAAGCACGGTATGCTGCCTGGACAGCAACCATGATGATGATCATGACACTAATCAAACTGGGGAGTCAATGATCAGACATGTCCTCATCTGGGTGTCTGTACTGAACCTATCATCTTACAATGTTAGGCAAGCACTCTAGGGCTCAAGGAACATCCTCAGCACCATCTACTTTTTCTTTTGATATAGGGTCTTGCTAAGTCACCCAGGCTGGGCTTGAACTTATTCCAACGCCAACTCTGAACCAAGCAAATTTGTATACCTTTTTATTATTCATCTTTTCATTGCTATAGCAAATATCTGAACTAAATCAACTTCATAAAAAGAAAATGTTTATTTTGGCTCACAGTTGAAGAGGCTCTAGAAGTCCATTATTGATTGGTCCTGTAGTCTTTGGACCTCTGGCAAAGCAGCACATCATGGCAGGAGCATGAAGCAAAGCAAACTGCTCAGTTCATGGCTGGGAATCAAGAAAGAGAGTGAGGAATGGACTGGTGTCCCACAGTGTCCTTCAAGGGCACACTCCCAGTGACATAAGCACTTCCCCATAGCCCCACCTCTTAAAGGTTCTACCACCACCTCCCAGCGGCACTAAGTCATCCAAATGTAGGCCACTGGAGGACATTTAAAATCCTAATTAAGAGAACCCAGATTATAACGGAGGTCCATCTGGGGTTAAAGGTAGTCTCAATAAAGAGAACTGATTTTTTGTATCCAGTTTTGTTATTACTTGGTTCAAAACATACACAACTTTTTTTTCTGGTTATCCAAGTCCATGAAGTTTCTGAGCTTAGCCCAAAAGAAACTGCCATTCTTCATCTACAATATAGAAGTTCAATATTATCTTGGCAAAAATTATGAAGGTGAATGCCATATGCTTTTATTTGGGCCTCAATCTGTTCAGCAGGGATGGGATAGGGGCTCTGAGGGACTTCAGATGGATAAGCCCCTAAAGAACCATAAGTAACAACAAGAGAGACTCTGAGCATTAAAGACAAAATGTAATACAGAAATCCATAAAGTGTTAACCCTAAAATGAAACACAGGACAGGTGATGGACAATGATCAGTTTACTTCAAACTTATGGTTCTTTTTTTCTTTCTTGTCTTTTGCCTTGCTGACTAGGGCCTCCTTTATGATGTTGAATAGAAACGACTATATGCGAGCATCTTCCTTTTCTTGCCAATCTAAATGGAGAGGCCTTCTAAATTTCTTCATTTAATATGATGTTGCCAAAGGCTTTTTAAATTTTGGTGCCTGTAAAACAGCAGGTACTAGTTTCCATCTAGATTGTTCTCAATGATCCAGTGAATGTATCCATCGTCAAGCTACTGTAAATTATTGGTGCTTAAAGTCTACAAGTGTTCCTTTATACAGAGAAATGCTCTAGAACAAATTACAGCCTCAGGGGTAATCAGAGGTAACAATTGACTATCTGCTTTGTAAATACCATTGAGATGTTGAAAGAAACATGCTCATATTTAGTGATCATTAATCTAAGACAAAGTACGAAAGTAAAAAATTCTTAGCAGCCTTTCCAAACAGCAAACAAAAATTTATTGCATGCAGTAAGCAAAACGAAGGAGGCTGGAAGTCAGAGTTACTGAGAGCAGAACTTCAGAGAAAGCATAATACTCTTTGCTAACATCAGACCTCTCCTAAGAAATGTGATTAGAATATGGAATGGAAATATCTAGTCACAGTTCTTCTTTATCTATGGGTGCTTCTCACAGATAACTCACATGTTCTCACTGTATGGAAGGTGGCTTTCAACAAGAGCCAGAACACCAGGCAAAAACTGCAATACATGTAATGACCTACTTTTGGAAATTATATACCACTACCTATATGATATTGTGTTGGCCACACAATTCAGTCCTTTTCAATGGTATTTCAAGGGCATGAGTATGAAGAGGCATGAATCATTAGTTGCCATCTCAAAGGCTACTGGCTACCACAGTCTGCCCCTCAGAACTGCAGATTCAAGCCCTTCCTGCATAAAAATATTTTATCCATTGTCCTAGAGCCCCAGATTTCACACCATAAAGTACCAGTATTATTTCATTCAGTAAATCAGATAGAAGTGCAAACCATCTTCCTTATTCTGCCAACTGACCTGGTGAGATCCTGCCAGAAATAACAGTTTAAGCCTAGTTGTTATCATCTTCTTTGTAAATCTCCAAGTCTCACCCATTCAGCTTCTAAAATGTGAAATCCGCCCCTTCATGAAATCACCACTGCTGCTGCTATAATTAAGCCCTAAGCATCTTTTTATGGACTATTACAGTCATTTTCTAACTGGTTTTGTCACTTCTGGGTCTTATCTTAAATCACTGTCTTCCCTGCTTCCTGCCAGTTATCACTAAAAATGTAAATATGGTCTTTTCACTCCGTGGCTCAAGAAACTTTACTAGCTCCTGTTACCTTTATAGGTTTAGAACAAGGTAGTACTGAGCACATTAAGGCCATCAGCTTTAGAATCAAACCACCTGTTTTCAACTTTGTTTAATCAATCAAGAATCAAAGAGATTGATTCTATCCATTTTATTCATTCTATCACAGTTAAGAACACAAAGGAATGAGCTTTAAGGTATATGATGGTACCATTCACTGGTATATGAAGTGCTGAGAATGAAGCAGGTTTAAGGAAAACGATGTGGTTGATTTAGCACATATTGAATTTAAGGTGCCCGTGAACAGCAAAGTGTGCAAATATTCGATGTTCCCTTAATATCCTATCTTGGATTAATACCCAAGATGGAATTTGATGTCCTCATTCCATAATGTTGGCACAAGTGGTAAATGGAAAATAATCTCTTTTCTTCTATATCTTAGTGAAGAATAAGGCAAGCTGTTGATTCCATATTCTTTCTCACAGTTCTTCTCTACTCCCATAATTTCCATATATTTTAAGTGTAAGACAGCGAATATTTAGAATCATAGAAGTGACAGGATCTGGAGTGAGTGCATTTTAAGAGATTATTTGAATTTAGTCCTATTAAGTTACAGATGAAGAAAATAAACTACACCTAGTTAAGTGATATACTCAAGGTTACAGTGCCAAAAGTGGAGCTAATATTCAGATTTTCTAATTTCATTCAAAAGTTTATTCTACTACCCAGATTTCTCTAGCAGCATTTCTCAGAGCATAAACTATGTGAGCTCAGTGAATAAAATGACTGAAATGTCATTTTAATACTGGCTACAATTTCCATTACTGGAGAGTTGCAGTGAACAATCTGTTTACGTGACCCAGAATTTAATGGCAGAATACCTTTCCCACCATGTATTAGTGTCAGTAGGGAATGTTGTGGAAAATGATGTACCATGCCATTCTTGGGCATGACCATGGTGGGTCTGAAAGGCACTCATGGGCTCAGTAGAATTATCTTGATGAGTTGAAATTAGAATGATGCAAAAGACGTTCATTCATTTTGACAGATTTGTGCTGTTATTGGAAACAGAAAGTATATAAATGAGTATGTTTCATTAATAAATGAGTATTGATCTTTTTCAAATGAGGAGAGGATCAGAGATGATAGGAGGAGGAAGGGATCAGAAGGGGTTGACAAAAAGAATTGAGATGTGTTAAGTACATGTACAAATTCCCCACAAAGAATATAACCATTATGTGCAGCAAATATGTCCTAATAAAAATAAAAACTAAAGAAAAAGCTAGTATAGAGTTGTTTAATGAGCTACCCAGAAATTATTGATCATTGCAGGGGGGTGTCTGAAAGATCTGATTTCTCCTACATAAGTAGTAATGCAAAACTGTATACCTAATCAGGAGTTCAGGGCTTCCAACTGGAGAACTGTTCTTCTTTTGTTTTTTTCATGTTCTTTTCATGTTAGGAACTGGATAATGAAGCTGCTATGTTTTCATTTTGTGGGAGACAGGAAAATAAATTAAATGGTATTAGGGTTTGATAATAAGTAATACTGTTGCTGTGAAGTGGTACACATTTGTAATTGTAAAATTACTAAGAAAATGTTAAATGAATATTAATTTTCATTTCTACTATAAAGCAAGCAATTTAAATATTACAATAAATGAATAATCATGCCAATGAATTATTTAACATTAATCAAATATTACTTGCTAAAAATGTCCTGTTAATTAAAAAATCTAAAACACAACAAATAAGCAATATAATGGAAAGATGAAAAGGCCATCCACATAAATGTCTACTCAAGATTTTGCCAGCTTCACTATAGCTACAAATTAAGAAAAATCACAAGTCAAGAAACTTTCTACTTTTAAAAATACATGTTGAAAGTAGTTTTTTCTCTGTATTTATACAATCAAATCCATAATTACTATGTGTATATTAATGGAAAGAACAATTGATATAGAATTATACAGTATATACTATACCATTACTATTTCCATACATTAATGGAAAGAAATAGAATATGCAAATACCTCTGAACTTATAGGTCTGTCACTAAAGGGCTCTATGAGTATGGATTCTCCAATGTCTTCCAGAAAGTGAAAGAATTACAGAAACTGTCAGCAATGTGCAAATATTAGACATTTGACTGAACCAGTCAGTACTACATCCCCTGCTCTCACTTGATGAAAGCACAGTTAAAAGAATTTTTTTTCTGGTAGTAAGGATGAATTAGGGCCTTCACACTAAGTTACATACCTAGCTACCCCTGCTTTTTAAAAAAATACTGATATAGAGTCTCACTACATTGCTAAGTTGTCCAGCCTGGGCTCAAACTTGTGATCTTCCTTCTTTCAGTCTACCAGAGTGCTGAGATTATATGCATGTACCACTGTGCTCCACTGACAGTGAAGTTTTTAAATTTCAGTACATGTGAGTTTTGTTCCTCTGGTAAATCCTTATTGAGACACAGTGCAGTTCAAGGCTCCATGCTAGAGCTATGCATAAGACAAATCCTTGGCAACCTTAAGCTTGAATCCAGGAGAAAAGTAAGTAATTATCTGCAAATACAAGATTTACAATTGTCATAAGGTTAGAGATAAGCTACTGTGAAATTGATAAACTGTAATTATTAGATTAAAATAACTGGAGAAAGTTTTATTACAATGTATCATGCATGCTCTTTCTTGAAGAATAATAGGTAAGATTAAATATGCACAGTGGGGAAAAAATTCTAAAGAGAATAAAAACGAGGAAAACTATGGATATATGTAGTAGCGACATTTAGAGTAATTCCCTTGAACTATAGAAAAGGGTGCTAATATTGTAGAGTATAAACCTCTCTTATTTGTAACATGGTGAACTTCAGTAAGTTAATTTTAATTAGCTAATGTATTCTTCTACATGAAGCTATATGCTTTTGAAATTTGGGAACTACATATTCTGAACTATACTAAAATACATGTGCCTAAAATTTATGACTTAAAAAGTCAGAAAATCTTAGTCTTTCAACCAATTGCTACAAAATGCTTTCCTCAGGTAAGAAAATATCCTGTTTTATTAATACCTTCCATATGCCAGGAAGTATACCTAATTCTTTGCACAGATTAATTTTTCCATTTATCCCATATATGAGATATACATTATCCCTATTTTAGAAAGAAAAAAGCTAAGGTGGAAACTAGGTAAGCTGCTACAAAGTGCAGAAGCTAAGGTCTGCCTGGGCGTGGTTTCCAAGGAGCACCTCAATGTCTCTACTTTGCAGAAAAATGAAACAAAAACAAAAACAAAAGCTTCACAAAGCCAGATTTTGACCTGTTTCGTGCAAACACAAGCTTTCATATAAATTAAATTTAACTTAATTCCAGTCAGTGAATGAAAGTCTTTGAGTCAAGATGTTGCCCCAAAATTAGGTGTGACAATGATATACAATTTATGAACAGGTTGCTTTGAGTCTGTTTTCCTACAAATAGCCCTGGCAGAGCTATTTCTGGTGCACTAATCACCTTAATTTTCAGATGTTTGCAGGTACCAGATACGTAGTTTGATTTTATGTAATTTATTCAGGCATAGAAGCGCAGCTTTCACTTCACGCCAGCTTTCTACAGGGCTAAAGATATTTATCTGTACATGACCCAGCCAGTGCCTTAATTTTGCACAATTAATATTATGAATTTTAAGGAATAGGCATACGTTCAATGCCTTAGAGCTTGAGTCTCATGGCCTCCAGCTGAAACTGCAGCAGTGGCCGGGTTAGGAGAGAGACAGGAAGCGGTGTTTCAGAGAGGCAGAAATACTACAACACTCTCGAGCTTACCCTGCTGGGAAAAAAAGCTACCGCCCCGCCTAAAGGAACCGGATAGCTCAAAAAGCTACCAGCCCCTTCCTCGCCCTTTCTCGCTCACCATTTCCGCTTCCGGGGATGTGACTTCCGGGCCCTCCGGCATGAGGGGCGGGGCTAGAGAGGAGCCGGAAGTTGCCCTACTTCCGGTACGGGAAACTTAGCTGCTACCCTGACCCGGCTTGACAGGTGCGGTTCCTGCAAGTAGCGCTCTCTCCTTTCCCCTCGCTCCTGTCTAACCTTCAAACTGGTTTGCCGCCACCGTCCCGCAGCTTCTGTCTCCGAACGCGCCCCTTCCCTATGTTCCGGGGCAGGAGTCCTGACACCCAAGACCCGCCCGCCGGTTCCCCGTCATGTCCGAAGTGACTAAAGAGCTGATGGAGCTGGTGTGGGGCACCAAGAGCAGCCCCGGGCTCTCGGATACCATCTTCTGCCGTTGGACGCAAGGTACCCTCGCTGGTCTGTCACCTGCGAGAGTGTGGCTGTGGCGCCTGTCGCTGCAGCCCCTCGGGTGCCCGGCGTTCTGCCCCGGTCCCGATGCCCGGCGTGGAATTGGATTTTCTAGAAACGCCCTGTCCGCCCGGGGTGGGGGTGGGGGTGGGGCTGGCTGGCTGGAGCCCGGCCACAGCTGCCCACTGCCATCTCCGTGCTACCTTGCAGCTGGGGACAAGGGGCGACAGAGAGGTCGATCCCACTGCTGGCCTGCAGTGGACAGCGAAGGTGTGTCCCCTGCCCGCGGGGCAGTTTCCCAGCCCCTGTTGTTGTGGCCGCCCCGACCTTTACCCACTAACAGCGCTATGTGATTAAGGTTTGGTCTGTTTTCTCTTGGGAGAGGAGTCCACAGGAAGGTTAAGGTGGCCCATGCCAGAAAGCAGTTTCGTTGTTTGTCTTGTAGTTATGTGGTTCAGGGTGGTACCTTGAGTGCAAACGCAGGGTTGCTTGCTCCGAAGTGTTCCCTTGGCCCCAGGCATCCCTGGTTTTGAGATAATGTATTAGTATCTGATCGTATCTGTTACTGTGTAAAAGAAACAGGCACAGCGTTTCTCGTGCCAGTCTAGGGTTATCCAGACAGGATTTTGGCTTATATAAGAAGCTTTATTAATGGTACAGATAATAAGGAAATTAAAATACCACGTATTGAATTTCTTCACTGTTCCGGCCTCTATACTGGGCATTTTATACTAGTAATTATCTTTAGTTTTTAAATTTCCATAATAAAATATAACACATTCTTAAGGTAATTTAAGAAAAATACGGTGATGTTAAGAACATACTTTTGGAGTCAGATCACTTATGTATGTTGAGCACTATTGTTATTTATAGAAATCTATTCCCAAAGAATTGGGATGATTTTTTAGCACAGTAAATATGAATCCCTATTTCCAAATGTGTAACTCTGTAACAAAAATTAAGGATTTAGGTAATCCTTTCTTCTCTTATAGCTCTGTCAATTTCAAGAGCCAGTAAAGTTAGAATAATGATTTATTAGAGTCAGTTGGACTAATTAGTATATTGCTCTTGTCTTCCAAATGAGAAAAGTGAATGGTGGAGGTTAAATGACTGGGCCAAAGTTGCACAAATTGATAGATATAGGAGTGAATTATTCCAAGTCTCTCAGCTCCCGATTCAGCTCTGTTTTCATTATTTTGCTTTGAGTTTCTAAACTCCACTTTTTTAGTTTGGCCCTTTTTACACATTTTGTCATTTAACTAATATTTTCTGAAATCTTAGACACCTGCATTTGCAGATTTTATTTTAAAACTTAACTCCTTTGGTTTACTTATTCTAATAGTGAACAGTTCTAAATACACAAACTAAAGGATTCAGAAAGTTTTACTTGCATTGGAATCTGTCAAGGCTCATTATGCATTTAACAATGTAGCATACGTTGATATGTTTGTTTATAACGTGATACAAATTCAAGGAAAACTTTTAGGCAATTCTAGTAAGAGCACAGTTTTTGGATTAAGTATGTACTTGGGTTATGGGTTCACATTATTTAATTTTTAAAGCCTCAGTTGCCTTCTCTGTAGAATGCATATAGAAGTATTGCCGACATAATAAGGTTGTCATGAAGATTAAAGGCCACATAAATACATTTAGCTGATTAGCACAATAGTAAATGCTCAGCAATTGATAGCTATTGCTGTATTAATTTAAAAAGCATGTAACTGTGGACTGAGCCAAAGATCATGTGACTTTGCCCTGACAATTGTAAGACATGATTGTTTATTTGATAGGTAATCATTATTCTAAAAAATACTTTATCATGACATATTAGAATGCTTTTCCTACCACCCTTTACTCAGGGGAAAGTTTCTTAACAAGATTAAAGATTAGTTCAATGAGTCTCATTCAAGAATAAAGAATTTTTTCCCCCAGAGAGTATAGATAGTTATATTGTGGATCTACGATTCTTCCTGGTTTTACACTGGTCAAGATTTTAAGGCAACATTTTTTTTTAATTATCACCTCTAAATCAGAAGGGAATGCTATTAATTAGTATTGAAACTGTTGTATTCATTCCTTCATCCCTGGAGGTCATTGCTAAATATTGCTGTGGCAGTCACTTGCGATTGTGGGAACAGGCACAAGACACTGCTTTGCCGCATTAGTCATGTGTCATCAACACTGGCTTTATTTTTATAATCGATAACTGTACTTGAATTGACAACTGCAGTTTCCGTCATTTGGAAGCAAGTTATAGATGAAAATGTGTAGAATAAATGAAAAGTTCTATGTACAGATCTTCCATTCTGTATAATAAATTGCATTTATTGGTTAAGTTAAATTATTTTGATGTGGTTGTTAAAATAAGCTATAAGAGTGGTATACAGTTACTGTTTTAAAATTGATTTGACATTTTTAGATAATTCTGCAAATCTTTTATGTTTAAAAAATGTGAGGTAGGTTTTGTAGTTGTTGTTTCATTTTTGCCAGATTTCATTTCATTGTATTTTTTGAGACAAAGTTTCACTATGTAATTCAGGCTAGCTCTGAACTCCCGGCAATCCTCCTGTCTCAGCCTCTCCAGTACCAGGATTACAGACATGTGCCACCATGCCCAGCTTGCCTGTTTTTATTTTAAAAATAATAAACCACTTAATTTAAAGGCTTGAAGTTGCCTTTTTTGCCCCCACTTAATCCAGTACTCAGGAGACAGTAGCAGGAGGATCGATACATGTTGGGCACCAGTCTGGGCTACATAGTGAGTTCAAGGCCAGCATGAACTACATAGTGAGACCCTGTCTGCAAAACACAAAACAATAATAAAAATTAACTTGGAAATGTATTCTCTCCTCCATGTTTCCTCCTTCTCAATTGCCTATAGTACTGTTTAAAGACAAGCAAGTGTTTTTCAACTCTCTTAGTTTATTAGCACCACTTATTTTCCAGTGGTGGCGAACCTATGACATGTGGCAGTGGACTGTTTGTTCTCACTGAAAGTCGTAAAAGGTTCACCATCACTAAACTACATGAGTATTAAGGCCCTTTCAGCTGAGACTTGGTAAAGTGGAAGGGAAGACAGTAAACGTAGTATAGCACACATTAAGCACAGACAGTCCTGAGAAGGTGAAGGGATGGGGATTCTGGAGTGGAGTAGCCTGGATGGGCCTGCTTTGGCGATGTGATTTGACCAGCTGCTTGGAGTCACTGATCATGTGGGTTTCTGAACAAGGCGAGAGTGACTGGAGAGAGGGAGGGAAAGGGAGAGTAATAAAAGATGAAAGAAATGGTATGAGCCAAGTCATAGTTGGCTTCTAGACCATTCCCAGTTCTTCTGCTTTTACCCTGAAGTGGGAAGTCTTTGAAAGGTTTGGAGTAAGATCTTTCAAATTTTTAAAGGACTGGTCGCTGTGTTTAAGGATAAATTGAACAGAAAGGTCAAATGAGAGATCATTGCGGTAACTCGGGAGAAAAGATGATGGTTTGCATGAGAACAGTAGTAGTGAGAAAGTGGAAGAAAGTGCTCAGATTGACCACATCCCAGCGACATCAGAATGAGAATCATCTAGATCTAATAGAGGTGGTGTCAGTGTTATAAACGAAAACATTGAACTTACTTACTGGAATTCATTCTTTTCAGTATTGATTGTGCAGCATAGTGGTTTTTGCACATCTTTTCTATGAAAGGCCAGTGGCCTTTTCTTTTCTTTTTTAATACTCCTCCTCTCTGTGATTGCAGCCACAGTATGAGGATGGCTCTTCCAAAACTTTATTTATAAAAGCATATGAAGATTGTAGTTTGCCAGTCCCTAATTTAGATTATGAATTTCAAATACCATTTTTCTATCTTTAATACTAAAGCCTTTAGGTTACTTTCTTGTTGCACTTAAAGATTAGCCAGAAAGAGAAAAACTGAATTTTGCTATTTAGGTTGTTTTGTTTTGTTTTTGCAGGGGGCGGTGTGGCGATTCAGGAGGAGTAAGGACAAAAGCTGTATTTGATTGAAATTACAGTTTTAGGTTTTTATTATAGTTGGCACTCTTAATTACATGATATGAAAAATGAGATTTATTACATTACTTAATAAAAGTAAAGGGTGAATTAAAAATATATGTATAAAATGTATTAGCTAATTTGCTTGGGTTAAAGTTTTGAAAGTATATTTGGGCTTTTATTATAGTGTTAGAATTAGAATTATACCAAAGTAATAAAAAGATACACATTAGCATTAATTTTTCTTTAAATTGAGGAGAGTAGTGTGGATCTCACCCTTTCCAAGATTTTGTTGTTGTTAGAAGCCTTTTATTTCTCTCCAGTATATTTTTTCTTTTCTCCAACATAAAATCATAATCCACCTGTCAGCCAACTTTTTTAAATTCACAAGTTGTAAACACACGTAATAAAGTTAGTTGTATGGTACTTTTAATACCTAAGTTTTTTATTCAAAGACTTAAAAAATAGCCATCATAAAGCATATGTATTATGCTTAACAGTTGTGAAAGTCGTATTTAATTCTTACAGCAACTCTGAAAGATGTGGAAGGACACCTGTAATTATCCTCATTTCTGTAGATAAGGAAAATAAGGCCCAGTTCAAATTCGTGACCCAGCCAAGATCATTTAACTTACACAAAGTCAGATCAAGCTTTTCTATGGCCTGTGTTTATATGGAGGCTAGAATAATTGAGGGCCCAGTTGTCAAACTGGTTTGAGTAATGTGTATATATATTGAGGGAGAGATGAAAATAAGACAGCAGAAAGTTTCAAAGAAGATAGGGCTCAGGTTTAAATTAATTATGGGCTATAAAATGAGAAACAGACTTTTCTTTGGTCTATAGTACTTTGAAATGTGATATAAAATGATATATTTCGGATCAGTTGTGAGATGGGTAATATTCTAATCAGAAAGAAATCAGCCATTTTGTGATAAGTTAATTCTTTTTAAAACTAGAAAACAATTGAAAATGTCAGACAAGAAAAGTAGCTCTGTCCTAAGAAATTCAAATTAAAATTAATTAAAAAAAACTTACAGGCGAATACTTACCATAGTCATCTTTTAGTACAGAATACTTAATTTCCATTTGATTGACTTTAATTAATTTTATGCTCCAGTAGCCTTCGTCATAATTAATTAATGCACTCAAATGTATATACTAGCATTAAAAATTGAAATAAAGCTTATCTGCCTAGAGTTCTCACCGTGGATTCTAATATGCAAGATGCAAAAGCAACCCACTGTGCTGTAGGTCTAACTATAGGCTTCATCCATGGATCTTGAAAATTGCATCACATTATTAGAATTTTTAAGGAGAGCTATAATCCATCACTAATTCACACTCATTGCACACCCTGGAAATATAGCAGAGCCTTTCTCCTCCACTCATTACAGCGCCAGGAGCCCTTATTTCCACAGAGCAAATGGAAGGCCTCTTGCCTTCACCCTTGCTGCCAGGTTGGACTTCAGATTTGATTGTCTTAATGCAATAATAGCACCTTCAGTTGTCACTTGTCCTTCTTAAATTTGTCCCATCTACCTTATCTGTTTTTGATTCTCCCATTTGTTCTGTCTGATTCTCAGTCTACT